GCAGCGGGAAATCACTCACTACCTGGCAAAGATGAGGGAAGTCCTCTAACGATAGCTCAAGATCCCAGTTTCTATTTTCATGTGGTGGGCTTCTGACTCTGCCTTCAATCGAGCGTCCGTCTTACCATGCACTTTAACGTAAGCGAGAAGGATTGCTCTATCGCTATGTAACTTCGGTCACCGCAGGGCCCATCTGTTCGCGAGAAGACTTTGGTGACAGCAAGCGCTGATTTATCATCAACCGCCTTCAGTCGCTCGGTGTACTATCGCCAGCACGCACAGGCAGTGTTGATCAGACAGCATGAGGCCATATCCGAGGATCCTCAAGTTTCATCAGACTGCAAGGTCCAGCCGCGCAATGAGCACCCACGCATCCTTCTGCACACAGACGTCGGTCTGGGTCATTCATGGTGTCAACTGGGTCTTTAAATATTATCAAAGCATGTCTGCACAATGTAAGGCCGATCATGTGATAATCAAGCGCACAACTCTTCGATTATCTTTTCGAGCACCTAACCTTAAGCCATCCGCGCCAGTCACGTGATGTAATCTACGTGCGCGTCCGTAACGGGCTGCTAGTACCATGTCTGATTGCTCTTTATGTCTGCCAACACAGCCAACATTATCGTATGCGTCGGTGTCGCACTACTGGGCGCCGCCTTGGCATACTCGTTTGCTTCTTCGAACTCTCGTCAGCGCCGCCACCCGCCCGGTCCATACGGATATCCCTTTATAGGCAACATACGGGTTCCTGCCGATCCTGCATGGAAAACGTATCGCCAGTGGAGTGACGTTTATGGTGAGCTGAGACTACATGCGCAACTTGTTGTAACAGAGTCTGACTATCCGAGCTTGCAGAATCAGACATCGTCCGGATCAACGTCCTCGGGACCAACATCGTCGTGACGAACACGCTGCAGGCGTCGTCCGACCTGCTGGACAAAAAGTCTGCGATATACTCTGACAGGTACGCGCACTGCCTCTGCACTCTTTTTTTGCTCTCATCGAACGTTGCGCAGACCCAGCTATGGGATGACGATGATGACCGAATTGTACGTTCTCCGCCCAGCATCTCACAGGCTTCACTAGAACGCGGCTTCTTCGCAGATGCGGCTTCGGCTGGAGCATCGGCTTGATGCGATACAACGCCTTCTGGCGCGACGCACGCAAGGCGTACCACCGCGAGCTGCACCCGCAGGCCGTACAGCGCTTCCGCCCGATCGTGGTCAGGTCGTCCTACGAGCTTCTGCGGAACCTGCTCCGCGCGCCTGAAAAGTTCAACGAGCACCTCCGGCAGTGCGTCTCTTCGCATGGTGGTGAAAGTGGGATCGCTAACTGTTTTGGTGCAGCGCCATGGGACGAGAGCTCCTCTATAGCGCATATGGCATTGACGTGCAGGAGAAGGACGACCCGATCATCGCTACCGCTGAGCATGGGCTGGAGTCTGCAGTTGCGGCGATGAACATCGGGCAGTTCTTAGTGGACCTCATACCCGCATGTACGTTCCCCACTCGTGTTTGCTGTTCAGGCATGCAGAATGACACGCCCCACATAGTGAAGTACGTGCCAGAATGGTTCCCGGGGGCCGGCTTCCAAAGGCAGGCCAAGATCTGGAAGGCGTCGCTCGACAGCATGCTACACGTTCCGTTCAACGCGGCCAAGAATCTGCTGGTAATCTTCGCTCTTCGTTCTTCCTTCGATCGTGGCCGCATGTTGAATTACGAAGGCTGCAGGCAGGCTGCCAGATGATTGCGTGGCAAAAGCCTTGCTCACAGACACCGTCCCAAATGCCGTCGACCCGGCGTACATGGAAGACGTTGTACGCGCCGCGCTAGGGACAATGTATGCAGGTGCGCATTGAATTCGTTTCGATCAATAGTGGCTAAAGAACTTGCTTAGCTGGTATGGATACTGTACGTCATCTTACGAATGTGATTGTGCACGTTAATTGACTTGGTCATCTGCCATCTTAGACGTTCTCAGCTCTGCAGTCCTTCTTCCTCGCCATGGTGCTTTACCCCAAATTTCAGCAGAAAGCCCAGGCGTTTATCGACCGAGCCTGCGACGGTCGCCTGCCCGACTTCTCCGATTATCATTCTTTGCCATACGTGCACGCTATTCTGAAGGAGATATTGCGATGGAATCCGGTAATCCCACTCAGTGAGCATGCGTACAGCCTGGCTGCTACCGTTGCAACCGCTCTGCGCTGATTGGACGTCCGCGACAGACCTTGTCCACGTTTCGACTGAGGACGATGTCTACGATGGTTACGACATCCCGAAAGGGACTTTCGTTCTCTCAAACACCTGGTATATCAACCTTGCCTCTGTATCCGCATGGCACGACGCTTATCACTTCGCCAGGGCAATCCTGCATGACCCTGCCGTCTACAATGCCCCAGACACCTTCAACCCCGAGCGCTTTCTGCGCACCAATGCCTCAGGAGAGCTCGAGCTCGACCCCGCCGTCCGCGACCCTAACGAGGCCACCTTCGGCTTCGGGCGCCGCATCTGTCCCGGGCGTTTCCTGGCGTACGAGGCCCTGTGGCTGGCGGTCGCCTCTGTTCTGGCGGCTTTCAGCATCGCAAAGGCGAAGGATGAGCACGGCGCGGACGTCACGCCCGACGCGGAGTACGAGTACGGCTTCATGATGTGAGTCTCGCACTCGATTTTGGCTGGAGGAGATGGATGCCGTGTTGACCAAGTGTGCTGCACACCAGCTTCCCGAAGCCGTTCGGCTGCAGGATAGTGCCGCGCTCCTCGGAGTGTGAGAGTCTTGTCGGCGCGACCGCTGAGAGCGAGTGAGTTCGCCACATCTACGATACGACATGTCCGGGTGTAGTGCCGTCTATTCGGCGTCGATTGCGTTATACCACTCTGCGATGGACTGTCCTTGACGGGCGTGGTGACCACTTGAGTGGCTCTCGCAATGGGTACTTGCCCCTGGAGCCAGAACGCACCGGTCCCGATTGGACTCGGCGGTGCTAGGAGGTCGAGCAGAAGTGAGCCAATCAGAGGCAACGGCCACGTCATTTATTTTCAGCGCTTTGCGAAGGACTCGCAAGCGCCGACATTGTCAGAGTCTGGGCTTCGACAACGGCAACGCGGCGAGTCTACGCCCTTTGTCATAGTCTTTCATCATCGCCCTGGTCTTATCGGCATCCGGTGATACTGACGGATTGAGGCCTCGGAGAAAGTGCATTCCCCAGACCCCGCCATCTGCAACAAAGCCAGACAACAAACAGATCTGTATTTTCTATGTTGTCATGGCTATCATCACCTTGCGCGTCCGTGCGTCCGAATGGAGGGAGCCTGCCTCCACCGAACCGTCCCCTTCAGCACTTGACGCTCTCCTTAGACACCGTCACGTGGAGGGTTGGCATGTGGCGTAGGAGCAAGTTCCGCGCTGCATTCCTGAACCTCCTGCGTCTCGAAGGCAGCTGGACCATCTTCTCCAACCGAGGCGAGCAGCGCAGAGAGATCTGGCCGTGAGCTCAAGACCTACAAGTGGCAGCTGGTCGCGTTGCCCGCGCCGGCGAGCCTCGATGCGCGGACGCGAAGCTCTGGAGCAGTGGCGCACACAAAGCCACATCGACGCGCATATGTACGGTGAGCATCGATGCGAAAGATTGCGTCGAGTACGCCAGTGGCAGGGAGCTCTCCCGTGTCTTCAGGGGAAGAGCACAAGCTGGGAGTTTGATGGGTTCCTCGTGACAACTGGCGCAGGCAAATCCCTCCGGCTGATGGTCGTGGCGTGCACGGTCATGCTGTCACTGTCCGGCGAGTAGTTCCCTGTCCTGCGCGTCAGCAAGCAGGATGCTGTCCCCCGCTTCTACCTTCAGAAGATGCCTCTTGCGCAGCAGTATCCGCGTGCGAAGCCGTGGCAAGACGCATTGAGACCAACTATGTTAAGCGCTGTGTGTCGGAGGCAGAAACGCAGGGAAAGGCGCGCACCAACCAGTTTAGGGCAGACACCAAATACCTTGGGCCAGTGTCAGTCAGTTAGCACTTCCCTCAAATTATGACTTTTATGGCTGACATAAACTAAAGCAGACCACACCTCTGACATGATCTGTGGCATCATCAAGAAAATGAATTAAAAAAAGCCAAGTTTTTATAGTCACTGCTGTGGCCTATGATCACATGGGAGCACATGCTCGGACATGTTGGCGAGACCAAATGAGCATGTCGGTGCCATATTATGGACAACTCAACTTAGCTCGGCCTCTCGAGATGTCGGCGGTGACGGAGAGGGTCGCCGCAGACCTGCAGCTTGATGAGCCAAGGGTAGTCATAGGCCCTAAGGTCTATCATGCCCGGGACCATAAAAGATGTAATGTGGCACGTGGTGGACGCCGCCAAGAGGCCATTTGGTGTTGCGAGAATGCCAAGATGATTCGTCTATGGGTTGATCGGGTGTTTGAGGCTGCGGATATGTCTGTGCTTGCACTGTCTAGTGAGTAGTACTGTATATGCGTGGCCGTGCGTCAACCGGCGCGGCGAGGATCAAGTACCCGAGCGCCCTAGCGCGGATGCCACGGAGTTCCGAGTTCTTGGCCTCCGGCATCAGTCATCCTACAGCATGCAAAGAAGCTTGGCAGGCGGCGCCACCCGCTCGTCGTGCCCGCGGAAAAACCGCGTGGCAGGATCTGATCTCACCTTCGTGCCGGGTGCGCGTTCGGTCTCTATATAGTGTGTCAACCGGCAGATATGAGCGTGCTTCCTGCGCAAGCGAGCTAACGCGCGCTAAAGCATAAATTTTCAACTCTTCTTCGTTCCGGTCGCGCACTTTCTGCTGGTGTGCTTTCGCGGTGTGCACGGATGCACACGAAGGTGCATCGGAATAGCCTGCGTTCGTACGCGGTCATGTACGTACGCGACCGTTCGTCTTCGTTCGTGCTCCTTGCATGCCAAGCCGTACGTATTTACTGCGCCTGCTCCGAACC